TACCATATGACTCCCATGCGGGAGTGGTTCTTTGAATTTGAAGAACTTGAAGGTGGAGTTGTGTACATGGGAAATGACAATCCATGTAAAACAGTTGGGATAGGTTCAATCAAGCTGCGTAATCATGATGGATCCACCAGAATCCTGAAGGATGTTCGGTACGTGCCGAATTTGAAGAGGAATCTCATCTCCTTGGGACTCTTGGAGTCAAAAGGCCTGGAAGTGAAGATGCGAGATGGAATTCTTAAAGTAACTTCGGGAGCACTTGTGATGTTGAAAGGTGTGAGAAAGAATAATCTGTATTACTACCAAGGTAGTACAGTTGTTGGGACAGCAGCAGCAGCAACATCTTCCAGTAGCAAGAAGGATGCAGAAGCAACAAAGTTGTGGCACATGCGATTGGGACATGCTGGTGAAAAATCCTTGCAAAATCTTGCCAAACAAGGATTATTGAAAGGTACGAAAGTTTGCAAATTAGAATTTTGTGAGCATTGTGTTCTGGGAAAACAAAGAAAAGTGAAATTTGGCACTGGTATCCATAATACCAAGGGTATTTTGGATTATGTGCACTCAGATGTGTGGGGACCTGCCAAGACTCCATCCCTTGGTGGCAGGTATTATTTTGTCACTTTTATTGATGATTTTTCCAGAAGAGTTTGGGTGTTTACTATGAAGAGCAAGGATGAGGTGCTAGAGATTTTCCTTAAATGGAAAGCTCAGGTTGAAAACCAGACGGGAAGAAAGATCAAGATTCTCCGAACAGACAACGGTGGAGAATACAAGAGTGATCCCTTCCAGAAGATATGCCAAGAATGTGGCATAGTTCGGCACTTCACAGTTAGAAAAACACCGCAGCAGAATGGGGTGTCAGAACGTATGAACAAGACACTAGTGGAGAAAGTACGTTGCATGCTGTCTAATGCTGGGTTAGGCAGAAAGTTTTGGGCTGAGGCTGTGACATACGCTCAACATCTCGTCAATCGCTTGCCATCATCTGCAATCGGTGGCAAGACTCCATTAGAGGTATGGTCTGGAAAACTTGCAACAGATTATGATTCTTTGCGTATTTTTGGTTCTACTGCATATTATCATGTAAATGAATCAAAATTGGATCCACGTGCAAAGAAAGCTCTCTTTATGGGCTTTAGTGCTGGAGTTAAGGGATACCGGTTGTGGTGTCTAGAAGCAAAGAAAACCATTATCAGCAGGGATGTTACCTTTGATGAATCTGCCATGTTGAATAAGGTAACACAAGATGGAACCAGTGGTACTCCGCAACAGGTGGAGTGTACGCCGAAACAGGTGGAGTTTGAGCAGATAATGGTGAGCCCAACAAACAGCACCTTCAGTGACTCTCCCATGGCAGAAGAAGAGTCAGATGAGGAAGAGGTTTCAACCCAAGAACCTCAACAGCAGCAAGAGTCAATTGCCGTCAATAGGGCAAGACGAGAAATTCATAAACCTGCTCGTTTTGTTGACATGGTGGCCTATGCACTTCCAGTTGTTGATGATGTTCCATCCACATTTTCTGAAGCAGTTCGAAGTACAGAAATGGTAGATGGAAAGATGCTATGGAAGAAGAGATGCAATCTCTTCAGAAGAACAATACGTGGAAGTTGACACAACTACCGAAGGGCAAGAAGGCAATTGGATGCAAATGGATATTTGCAAAGAAAGAAGGATTTCCTGACAAGATTGATGTTCGCTACAAGGCAAGATTGGTGGCTAAAGGCTACGCTCAGAAGGAGGGAGTTGATTATAATGAGGTATTTTCTCCAGTTGTTAAACATTCCTCTATTAGAATTTTGTTGGCCTTGGTAGCGCAGTTGAATTTGGAGCTAGCTCAACTTGATGTGAAGACCGCGTTCCTTCACGGTGACTTGAAGGAGGAAATCTATATGTCTCAGCCAGATGGATTTAAAGTTGCTGGTAAAGAAAATTGGGTTTGTAAACTGAGCAAATCGTTGTACGGATTGAAACAATCACCGAGGCAATGGTACAAACGATTTGACCAGTTCATGATGGACCAGAAGTACACAAGAAGCAAATACGATCACTGTGTGTATTTGCGCAAGCTACGAGATGATTCCTACATCTACTTACTCTTGTACGTTGATGATATGCTGATAGCATCAAAGAGCCAAGTTGAAATTGATAAATTGAAGGCTCAGTTGAGTAAAGAGTTCGAGATGAAGGATTTGGGAGAAGCCAAGAAGATTCTCGGCATGGAGATAAGCAGGGATAGAACGAGCGGCAAGCTTTGTCTGATACAGAAGCAGTATTTGAAGAAGGTACTACAACGTTTTGGCATGAATGAAGATTCAAAACCTGTAAGTACTCCGCTTGCTCCTCATTTGAAACTTAGTAGCCTATTATCTCCAAAGACGGATGAAGAGCGAGCATACATGGCGAAAGTCCCGTATGCTAATGCAGTTGGTAGCTTGATGTATGCAATGGTGTGTACGAGACCCGACATTTCACAGGCAGTTAGTGTGGTAAGCAGGTTTATGCATGATCCAGGCAAGGGTCATTGGCAAGCTGTGAAATGGATTTTACGGTATATCCAAAATACCGTAGATGTTGGATTAGTATTTGAGCAGGATAAATCACTTGGTCAATGTGTAGTTGGATATTGTGATTCTGATTATGCAGGTGATTTGGATAAGCGACGTTCTACAACTGGCTACTTGTTCACATTTGCCAAGGCGCCAGTCAGTTGGAAGTCTACTTTGCAATCAACGGTGGCTTTGTCAACAACGGAGGCAGAGTACATGGCGATTACAGAAGCTGTGAAGGAGGCAATTTGGCTTCAAGGATTGCTTGAAGACTTGGGAGTTGGTCAAAAACACATTGACGTGTTTTGTGACAGTCAGAGTGCTATTCACTTAGCAAAGAACCAAGTCTTTCACGCAAGAACGAAGCACATTGATGTTCGCTATCACTTTGTGCGGGAAATTCTCGAAGAAGAGGAGATTTTTCTTCAGAAGATTTGGACTACGGAGAATCCTGCAGATATGCTGACCAAGGTGGTTACAAGGTCCAAGTTAGAACATTGTTTAGACTTGGTCAATATCCTGCATATTTGAGTTGGCGCCTGAGGGCGCAAATTTGAAAGCACCGCAAGGACCATTGGTTATTTTTTGGGTAAGAAGGTTTGTATTTTTTGGGTGGGATTAGAAATTATGCCAAGGTGGAGATTTGTTGAATTCAAATCTTTGAATTCAAGCCACATTTGTTGACTTTTTTTAAGCCCACAAATGTTGAAGTTTTTGGCAAACATTTCATCCCACATCGGAAGCTTTAGGAATTGAGGAATTGAGAGATTGCTATAAATAGCTATCAATCCTTCAAATTAATGTGTACCAAGAACAACAAAGAATTACCCATAAGGATTTTGTAATTCTTTGTATTCTTTCTTCTCCCAAAAATTTATAAAAGCGGGCTGCTTGAGTGGTGCTCGGAGAGTAGGCAAAATTGGCCGAACTCCGTTATCAATTTTCGGGTGCGTTCTTTCCTTATCTCTTTTATTTTGTTCCGCATTTATTTAGCAGTTTCTTTTCAATTATAGTATAGTATTCAATATATTTGTCGGGTTTATTTGTAGTGTATTATACGATTCTTTTGGGTGTATTTTCTTATTCGTGTTTACGTTTTATTTATGTATACACGGGTATAGTTGTGATAATACACCGTGCACGTAAGTTCTGTCTAGGAGACTGGGTTTTAAGTGGGACCGCTTGTGACCCCTCCAGCCTTTCCTGGGAATTTACTTGGAATGGTAATTCTGTCTAAGGAGATCATTTGACGATCTTTCCTGGGAATTACTGAATCGGTTTAATCACTAGTTGTAATTTTGAGTGGGAAAATACCCGGTTTCCCCAACACCGAATACACATTTTCAAAGCATTATTCCAACTGTGATACGGTTCTCTACAGATCATTGCAGCATCAATCTGCATAAATTTGATACTTTTCTCTACATCTGAGCTCAACGTCATCTCAGTTCAGTCCTAATCATGGTTCAAAGTCATGGTTGCAATTGCAGTCGCGGTCCGGACCGTTCCACATCGGTCTCGGCATATCAGTCGCGACTTCGGTGAGACGCAAATTTTTGAAATATTTAATATTCTAAAAATTATTAAAAAAATATGATAAAAAAATTAAAAATTAACAAAAATAATGAAAATTCGAGTTAACTCGGGATGACTCGGGACGAGTCGGGGCAACTTGGCCTTTTCTATTCGTCTCGGAGACGTCTCAACCGAGTTCTTTGCGATTTATTATCTCGAAGTCATCTTGTTCCGATATCGGATCGAAAAATCCCGTTCCAGTGACAACTCGGCCGAGTTGTCTCGGTCTCGGCCGAGTCTTTGCACTCCTGATTGGTGTTTCGATTACGGCCTCATCCTCAGCTAGCTAGTCAGTGGGATATATAAATTGCAGAATATCCATTTTCACAGCATTAATCATCAGGTTGGCATTCTTCGTTGCTCCTGAACAGGTAAGACTTTAGTACGTAGTGGCGGCTGCAAGAAAATGGACCCCGAATTGTATGCAGCTGCACAGTCAGGTAATTGGGTTGTAATCATGGTTCGAAGTCTCGGCCGAGACCGAGACGACTCGGCCGAGTCGTCACCGTCTCGGTCCCTATCGATACGATACCGTGACGAAACGATACCGAAATACTTGACTCGCCGAGAAATCGGCCGAGTCCTCACCGCGACGGATTGACTCGGCCGAGTCACACCGAGTTACTCCGAATTATCCCGAGTCAAGACGAGAAATCAGCCGAGTCACACCGCGACGGATTGACTTGGTCATTTCTTTTGCTATTTTTTAATTATTTTTATTTAACCTACTTTTTTATATTATTAACAATTTTTAGAATATTAAATACTTTAAAATTTGCGTCTCACCGAGACCGCGACCGATATGCCGAGACCGATGTGGAACGTTTCGGGCCGCGCCCGCGCCCGCGACCGCGACCGTGACTTTAAACCATGGTTGTAATGGAAAGCTTTTCAGACGACTTCTACACTCAACATACTCCAGTAGAAGAGACAGTCCTTCACGTATTAGCCGAGTCTTGTGACTCTGCAAATGTAGTCCAACTTATCCTTGCTGGGCATGGCCGTTTGCTTATGAAATTGAACAAACGGGGCGAGACTGCACTTCATTTGGCAGCAAGAAATGGGCATTTGGGCATCGTTCGAGTCCTAATTGACTATGCAAAATCGGAAGCAGGACACTGGTATACCCCATGTTCTGACAGGCGCAAGAGGATGCTGAGGATGGCTAGTGTGGCTGGAAATACAGCTTTACACGAGGCAATTAGGAACAACTTCTATTACATCGCCAAATTGTTAGTTCAAGAAGATCCTGAGTTTCGTTATCCCCACAATTATGCTGTGGAGACACCTCTGTATCTGGCAGTTGAGAAGGGACGCCATAATATTATGGTTCTAATTTTGGAGTCTTGCAAGACACCATCTTATCTTGGCCCCGGACACAAAACTGCCTTGCATGCTGCCGCAATTTGGAATTTTCCAGGTGACTTCATGGATAAGCATTTTTTATATTAACATTGTCTACACAACCGAAAATAAAGGGACAAACCTGAGCTCCCTTTCCTTCTTTTTTTTTTTTTCATATTTTGATACAGGGGAATTAATTTTTTACCTTGTACGAAATTTCGACTTTGATGGCACAAGCGATTAATGCATTAAAAGGATTTATGGAAAATTAATCTGATAAAATACCATTTAATAATGGGTAAATTACTTATCACCTCTCTATAATTTTATATAATGCAGATGATCCCCTAAGGTTTTAAAATAGCCACATAATCCCCTTGTGATTTTATGTAAAGTGAAAAATGAACGGAATGCATATTAGTTATGACGTTTATACTGAATACGCTTTCAAAGCATGTCTAATAAAATTTTAATATCCCTGTAACCACCTTATGGTTTGTATAAATATCCACTTTAACTTATGTGATTTTTGCATTTATTCACATAATCTCCTTATACTTTATTCAAAATGGTTAAACTATCGATTGATTTAGCATTTAAATAAATGTACTATTGATATTTCAAATAATGATATTATGTAGGCTATTTTTCGTCAAGTTTTCACTTTACATAAAACCATAGGGGTGAAGTGGACATTTTAAAACGTTAGGGAGTCATGTGGCAATAGATGAAATCACAGGGAGGTTATATATAATTTGTCCTTCAATAATGTATTCTGTATTGTTTGTACATATTTATCCATTAATCATAACACTTGTTTAATTTACACAGTATATGTAAGTTGTTGTAGTGTAATTGATCTTAATGGTCTAGTGAATAACAATATCTTCACCTGTTGTACTAAAATATTAGCTACTTACAGATTCCATGAAGCTGATTTTGGAAAAGCTGCCTAATCTTATAAAAAATGTCGATAAATTTGGGTGGACTGCACTTCATTATGCTGCCAAATTTAATCATCAGGATATTGCAAGACTATTACTGTCTGCTAAGTGCTCTGCTGCCTATGTTGTTGCCAAGAATGATGACTCCAAGACTGCTCTACATATTGCGGTAATTCATGGACATGTAGTTTTGGTGCAAGAGATTTTATCCCATTGCCCAGATTGTTGGGTACAGATTACGGGTAAAAGTCGGAATATCCTTCATCTAAGCATGAAAAAAGAGAAGTCTTGGAGTTTGTTTTGCAAAATTCCTGGGCTTCTAAGCTCATTAACCAACAGGATAATGAAGGAAACACTCCTCTCCACCTGTATGTTGCTACCAAAAACTTGGATGGGAATTGCCTTGTGAATCATCCTTTTGTGGATGATCAACTTTCAGAAAGACAGGTATAAGATGTTTTTTTCCCCCTCCCCTTTGCGTGATCATAGTGATTATTAAAAGTTTTTTCAAATTTTCTTATATGAACTTGAAAATTTTAAATTATTATAAAATTTTATTTTTAGAAAATAGGAAAGTTAGATTGTATGTTATAGAATATTCTTAACTACTAATCCTCCCAAGTCAATCTTTGCTATATTTGCGTATCCTTAAATTTTAGGTATCTTCATCCCTATTTTTTAAGACACTCATGGTATTTAAAATCTCAGGCCATCGTGTCTGTGACGCTACTACAATTCTTTTCATTTATGTGGAAAATATTGTGTTTGTTGCAGTGTTGTACAATTGTTGTGCTTGTCACATATTTTAAAGTACACTTAATCATATTATTGCAAGTCTTAATTTTAGTTTATTTTTAAATAGTGTTAATTTTGTTCGTAAATACAGTAGATATTTAAAGAAGTACACTATTTTATGTAAGTGTACCAAACAATTTTGTAAGAAATACAATAACCTCACCAAAGTGTAAACACAATTGCCATGCGGCTCTTTATAAATCAAGAAGAATACGGTACCGTTTATGAAAAACGCAAAAAGAAGAAGAAGAAAAAGATGGTCCTGTTTTCGTTTTGTATTTTTTTCAAAACTATTTTTCTTAAACTGATGTTTCCCGTTTTCTTCTTGAACTGTTTTTTTCCTTTCCTCACATTATATCTGCTTTAAATGTAAGCTATCTACTTTGATTTATAACCAGTATTTCTACTTTCAAGGTGAACATTAATTAGTCTGTCAAAAAATAAAAAACATGACACTTCTAATTGGAAGGATCAATAATAGTTTTGCATGTTATCTAAGATCCTTATCTATCACATGTGCGAGTAGAGTTGGAAGAGTACACCAAGAGTCGCTTCATATTGCAATCAGCGACCTCGTTGTTACAATTTTGTTTTTGACAGATTTTAATCAAGGACGAGTTGGAGCAAGCAGGTGGCACTCGAGGGTACCGAAATGTTGCTACCGTAAAGAAGAACTTACGAGTATTGGCTAGAAGAACCGCTACATAAGGCCCCAAATCCGGTATCCAGGAACCGCGACAACCACGGTAGATTTAGATGAGGATGTCGTCGGATTTCTCAACTCACAAATTGGGTAACAGGAAACGTTGATGCAGCTGCAAGAGATGAGGCATTTCGTACCAATAAAAAATAAAAGACGGGGCATTCATATCAGTCGGACACAATTAGGACGAATACCCGATTAAAATTTTAAGTCCATAAAAACTCTGAATGGAAATTTTATAGGAGTGAGGCCTCATAGGGGCTCCAAAAGCGGGTGGATCTAATGCTTCGAAAAATGCAAAAAAATAGTGGGTGCATCTAAAACCGCATCTGGACCTCTCAATATCGCTTCATCAGTAGCCTTCTATCACAACTTCAAATTCGTCTTTGTGTCCAAAGGCCATGAAGTATCAATAATTGGGGGAACAAGGAAGAAGTGTAAAATTTGAAAACGGAGAGGAGACGGGGAATTTATTAGTTAACTTATATATACCATCATGAACACTGAACGCCATGAAATATCAAATTTGTGTTTTGTCTAATGATTGAAGTCAGTACCTAGATTTAGAAGTTTTGGTTCAAATCTTCCTTATGACTCCTTAAATCCCATCCATTCTCTATTAAATAGAAAAAAAAAAAAAAGAAACCTTGAACAAAAAATGGTAACTGAAGTTTGACTTAAGAAATATAAGATGTAAATACATGGGGATGGAGCTATAAATTTTTTGACAGTAAACAAAAGATCAATAGATAGAAATAGTGCATGTACTTTATTAACAAAGATCAAGAAAACTAATAAGAGAAAAAGAAATATATTTTACTTGATCGTTATGCACTAGACAGCATTGATAATGGACTTTTCTAGGTTATAAAAGTGGTAGGAAATGGGATGTAGGATTAAATTGCTGCACGTTAAATTTTGTTGAGGACTAAATGCATCATTTTATGATTGAAACAATAAAATCACAATAACAGGGGAAGGGTTGGATTGGATGGTAAGGTAGGAAAGATTGTAAGTAGAACATTTTAACTTCAAAATCTATCACTTACACCAAAAAAAAAAACTAAAAGGAACAATAATGTCCAATTGAAAATTTTCCATTCCATTAATTGGTAGTAGTATTTGTAGATAGTGAGAGGAAGAAACTACTAATCGTCAATGGGCTAGCTTCTGGGCTTAGAGGTGCATATCAATGCCAACCTTATGGGCCAAAACACCTGAGCCGAGCAAATACATTAACAATGCCCACAGAAGAACCTCTTTTGGATCTTCAAATAATTCTGATGAAGGTGATGGTGAGCAGGAGTTTGTGTAACACTTGCCACAGAGTTGGTTTTCTGATAAGATTTGTGTTTCTTGTGGTAGGCTTCAAAGGCATTCTCCTGCAGTCTTGCCAATTCAAATGCTTTGGACAACGTCTCAGAATTGTGAGTCTTCACCATTGATCTCAACTCTTCTGGCAAACCACTCAAAAAACAGGAAATGTAATAAGTTTCAGATAGGTGCGGAGCTCTAATCATTACCTCTGATAGTAGTTCTTCAAATTTCTCTTGATAGGCTAACACTATGGAGAACAGCTGTAGCTTGTTAAACTCCTCCATTGGATCCATTTGCCCTAAGGCACCAAATCTCTTGCACAATTCCCCAGAGAACTCCACCCAATCTACCTTATTACCCCTAGTCGATCTAAAACCTTGATGCCACACATCTGCTTTGTCTTCCATGTAAAATTCTGCTATCTCCATCCACTGATCCATGGAAATCTGTAAAAGGTGGAAATACTTCTGAATTTTCCTGATCTATTCTCTAGGATTTTCTCCCCTAAATGCTGGAATTTCCAGTTTGGGCACACCAGTATAGAAGGCGCTCCTGCAATTCCTTTCACCCTGCTTTCGATTCACCATATCTGAGTTCCTTGAGTTACTCACCTCTAGGGATCCCAATATTCCTTTTTCATTGTTACCACGGCTCAAATTGGCAAATTGCTGAGAGATGGCCGCCATGAATGCTTCTAGCTTATTACTCAGCTCAACATTCACTGCATCAATCCTTTCTTCCAAGCTTTTCTTGTCGGTCGCCATGGAATCCACGATTCCTTGAATTCTGGTTTCTTGTCTGCGAAGTTATTCCTCCTTTGTTTTCATCCGTGTTCCTTCTGCCATTATGATATGTTGGTTCCAGCTTCCTAGTCCAAGGACCAGAAGCTCTGATACCACATGTAGTGACCTGATCAGTAGGAGAATTGAAGAGGGAGGATAACATCAGAAGAAGAAGATGAAGAAGAATAGAGAAAAGGAAACGTGGGAAGGAAGAAAGAGCGAGAGAATGAAGGAAAAGAAGGAATCTGTAATTTTTTATATCTGTTATGCCTTCATCACGCCATTTGCAGGCTCTTTATACAAATTTCTTTCTGGATCCTTCTATGCTCAACTAATTACACAACAAAATAGACATATATGACAAGCTAGTAACTAACTTGCTAACTAACTATATGAAAAGAAAGCCACGTCAACAACAATAATCTTCATGCTTCTGATGAGCAATATCTAGGGTCATAACATTTGTATTCGAGCAAAGCTCCATTTTTTTCTTTTTTTTTTCTTCACCAGAGATCCAAGGAATAGCACGATGTATATAGTGCATAACTTGTTTAGTATGACATTAGGCCTGTCATCGGGTTGGTTGGATCGGAATTGAAAATTTTGGACTTGGACCCATTTTAATGTACTAGACTCGGATCCGACCAGTATACTCGATAGGTCTTGTACTTAAGATTCCGAAATCAGGTCCGACAGGTCCGAGTCAAGTCTGAGTCCACCTTAAAACAAAAGATCTAACATGCATCATTCATTTTCTTTTATCCATACTAGCAAAAAGGTTCAACATGATCCCAGAATATTTAGCAAAAAGCACTTATATGCAACTTGTGATGAATACATTTTGGGTCAAACAAGCTTGTCTCTTCCAAATCCTAATTTCTTAGATACTTCATCTGGAATATGGGTAATTTGGTAAAAGAATACTTTGTTAATATAGTAAGAGAATGTATTTAGAAATATTTATATTTTATAATTATTAATATATTGTTCGAGTCCGAGTCGGAATCCTATAGTCCATATCCGACCTACTTTTTTGTTAAAGTAAACGAGTACGAGTTTGAGTCCGGAACCGGGTACCGGAATTATTTCTCAACCCATACCTGGAAAAAATTACCGAACTTGGGTCGGGTCCGGGTTCAAACCCGATCCATTGATAGCCCTATATGACATCAATGGGTGACCGAAAAAGTTGACTTTCATCAAATACGACTTAGAGTGCCGCTTAATATTGACGCTAAATGGACTGATCAATTGACATTCAATCTTAAGACTGCAATAGAAATACCGGTTCTTGGATCCCATTTAACTAGGTTTTTTGGCCACAGTTCTGTTTAAAATAAATTAAACAGTTTGCTGAAAGTTTCAATGGATTATTCTCCAGAGTTTGAGCGTGATAAGTCCAACCATGTAAGAAGCTATGGTTTCTTACCATACCCTCAGTTTCGCCGGAATATTGTAAAGATTCATGTCTGATGGGAAATTTTGTGTTGCTTTTTTTTAAAAAAAAAAAACCAAAAAAAAAAACGAAGTATAGAGGCCAAATTCTGATTTCAAAAGGTACTATTCAAACAATATATCGTTATGAAAGAAAGAAATACTGAGTGATGCTACTTTGAAGGCTTGAAAAAAGTGTTGATATCGATACAAGTAGTTATGGCATGCTCTTCCTGGAAATTAAGGAAGTGTTGAGTTAATTGAACTGGCTAAAGAAAAATTCCTAGTACTTCAATTTAAATACACATTATTTAGCACGTTTTGATATTTGTAATACAAACCAATATATAAGGGGTTTGTGAATTGGGGATCAGAAGTGTTTGTGTTTAGTATGAACATCTTGTCTTCTTTGCTGTGAATTGTGAAGAAGTTCAACGGGAATATTATTAGTATTTAGTAAAGGGCAACAAAGTTGTAGAATTTCCATATTGGATGTCCCTAGTAAGAGTGAAGATGCTTTGTTTGATGAATTTTTTAAATTTTTTGTAAATTCCTAATCTTTCATTGATTCAGAGAAGAAATTTGATGCTTCCGTGTACCAACTTCTAATTCTTTAATCATGTATTGGTGCCAAGCAAAATTCAATGGACTAGATCCGACAAAAAAAAAAATCAATTAGATGTTTTCTAAGGTAGACATAATATCTTCATTTAATAAAAAATTTTGCTCATTCGAGGCATTTTTCCATGCTCTTTTTCTGCTTTCATGAGCACAGAGACATAGTAATTGGCGTGTTGGCGTGTGTGTCTATATATATATATATATATTTTTTTTTTTAACCTAACAGGACAACGACCCAATTGCAAATGGTACTTGTTCAGGTCCGAACTAGGCGGCTCGATCACATGAATGGGAGTAAGTAAGATGTGAACTTGACCCGGACGGATCCATTATTTTGTAGAGAAAGACCCTTAGTCAAGTCCACGCAAACAAATGTCAAGTAAGTGGACTAATTTAATTACCCAAAAACAAAAATGTAATAAAAACAAGGATTGGGAGTATATTGTACCCTTTTATAGTGATCCATTCCCGAGTCTTTATCAGCGAGTAGTTGGATGTGAAGACAACGGACGAAAGCATGAAATGATCAAGCTGATAGCAATTTGTACAATAAAAGATTCCAAGTAATCAGACACCAGCTGATTGCAATCTGTGATGTTAGTTTAATTTCCACACTTTAAGATTCTAAGTTACTTTCTAATTCTTGGATGCAAGTTTTGGGATACATCCTTTGCATAATTGGAGAAATAAAGTTAAATTCATAGCTCTCCGTTCTATAAGAGACATTTTAAAGAAGTTATGATGTTTATGATACTAATTACTAGTCTATGATGCTAATTGGGAGGGGAAGTTGTAAATTCCTTTGCCTGTTCTTTTTTCTTTTTTCTTTTCATCATTCCTTCCCTTTCATTATTCACCAAAAATTCCTCTATTGAGGTTTCTGGCTATTTCAATGGCCTCCTTCTAGATTTCAAAAATTACACTAACCTCCCTTGAAGTTAATTATCTTGTAAGATTAAGGCTCAATCAATAATTAAAAAGTGATATTAAGAGAGAAAAGATAATATGATTCCACTATTGCCCTCATCTCCTACATTATTTAGTTAATTAATACCAACATATTTATTAAAGAAAAATACTAAAATTTACTATTTATCATTAGTGATTAAACCACATATAGTATCAAAAGAATAGTATATTATTCTATATTTTTCACTTAATTCAAGATACAAATTACTCTTTTCAGTTACATACCCATTGTTAAACATGAAATGACCAACAATACATAATAAAAAAAATTGCAATCAGAGCATTATAGAAAGCAAACTCTAACATCATAAATATCCTTGTCAACATATTAAGATTAGTTGCTGAAATTTTTATGGTACTAAAGTTTGCTCTTTGTAATGTTTAGGTTGCAGGTTTTTTTATTATTTATTGTCGATCATGTTTGTCAATGAATTAGTAATTGAAAGCAGTAATTTAGATCTTACATTAAATGAAATATATATAATGATATACTATTTTTTAATGCTATATATAATTCGATCTCTGATAATAAATAGCAAATTCCAATATTTTTCTTTAATGTGTGGGTTGGTATTATGTTCACTAAATAATGTAATAGATGAAGGGCAACGGTTGAATCATGTTATTTTCTCTCTCCTAGTATCACTTTGTAATTACTTATTGGACCTATATATTGCAAGGTAATAAACCTCAAGAGAGGTTAGTGTAATTTTTAAAACTTAAAAAGTGATCAATGGAATGGTTAGAAACCTTAGAGGAGGTTTCTGAAATTGTCCCTAAAAAATAATTAAACTTAACAGGGCAGAAGCTCCACCTCCCGTAAATAAAGTCTTTCTTGAATCATGTCATGAACTGATGAAAGTAGTTTTAAAAAAAAAAAAAACTTATCCTTAACAAGGAACAAATAGCCAACAACGTAATTATTTATGGAAATTGTCTTGTCATTAATTATAACCCTTTGACATCATCGCCCAATGTGAACAGATAGGCTAAATGTGAACGGACTTGTACCATTAATACGAACACCATTGACTGGTGATTTGTATCATAAACATCAGAAGAACTTCTTACAACGAGGGAGGGAGGGAGGCTGGGCGGGAATAAAAGGATCCAATTGGCAAATGCGAATTGTTCCAGTCCAGAACTAGGCAGCAGGATGCCAAGGGTGCTAGTCAGACTCAGATATGACCTCTAGGGAATTTGCATTAGCAGGTTCGAATGAGAAAACACCTTCTTAATTTGCACTAAAACACAAACCTTGACTTACTGTATCCACACTTTTTCAAGTCGTCCAAGTTGTAGAAGTTCGTAATTATTTTTTCGAATTAGAATTTGGCCTTAATACTTTTTATTTTTTGTGGAAAAAGAAGAATCACAAGTTTTCCCATCAAACATGAATCTTTAACAGCACTTCAAGCAGTATCTAATGGAAGTCGACTTCTTTAAGTCACCCCCTAATATCAAACTATATAAGTTATTTATATTATTGTTCTGTCTGCTTTCACATTCAACAACCTTACGATACAGACATATCCAATTGTAAGATAGAAAATAGATAGAAACCCCCCCCCCCCCCCCAAAAAAAAACCCCCACAAAAACAAAAATAACAAAACATGATTAAAAAAAAATACAAGCTGATTAAGTTGGTTCAACAGAACCTTATTCATTTTATATAAAAAACTTTTTTTTTTAATTTCTGTGTAGAATGGAGAGTTATGGATTTAAATTTGGCTTTCCAATAATGCAAGGGTATATGCTAAAACTTGCATCTAAAAGACTTTCGTGGTGCTTAGAATCTGAGGTGTAGAATATCACAGGTCGTTGCAGTCTACTTGGAATCGTTTATTTGTACAAATTGCAATCAGCTTGATCACTTAATTAATGCATTCGGCTAGCTTGTTTTCACATTCTCCGATAAAGGCGCGGGAATAGATGCATAGAAAATAGATAGAACCCAACCCATTGCATTTTGTTTAGGGCAAATTATCCATTTGGCCCTTGAACTTTTAGTTTAAGTAAAATTAAGCCCTCTAACTATTTATAGTCAACTTTCAACCCTTAAACTTGTAAAATTGGGAATCTGTGGCCCTTTTACCTAGTTTATCCGGTTTTGCAACCGAAAAATCAAATCACACGAATGACAATATGCTTTAAAGGAGGGCATTTTTGTCCATATATTCTAAGCAAAAATTGAACAGCTTTATCTTCTTCCCTTTCCCTAACCCAACCTGCCATCGACGGAAGATCAGCCTCCAAGAACCCCAAGACTTACAAATACTACAGTAATGCCATCATTCAGAGATTCAGGGACAACCCCTCCTCCTCCCCCCCCTCCCCCAACAAAAAAAATCACTTTTTCCGAAGTCCGCAAGCCCATCGTTGGAGACGTCGGCTCCATTCCCAGGGTTTTTGATTTCTTGGAAGTCTGGGGCTTGATTAATTACTCTCCCTATTCTTCTTCTTCCTCTTCTAATAAGGCTGCCGCTGCTTCCCCAACAACTCTCCCACAATGACAGCAAGGACTCCTCCTCCTCCGCCACCAAATCTGCTAAATTCAAGGAGGAAGCATACTCCTCAATTCCAGCTGTGAACACCACAATCTCAAATTTATTACTCATGAACTCCAAAAATTCTTCCACAAATGGCCTCTTTAACACGACGAAATCCACTCTTTCTCCATCTATCACCGGCCTAACTATGAAATCATACTTTTCTAGAGCAGGGCCCGGCTGGGAATGCACCAGAGTCTTGTCCAAATCAAGAAAGACTGTGTTTTTCTCTGGCGAAACCAGTGGTGGAAGTGCAGAACTTTTTTCGTCATGAAACAGAGCTCTTCTGATGCTACTTTTGGGATCTTCAGAACCCTTTTGAAGTAACTGATACCCCCGTTTTCTTAGGCTCTTCTTCTTAATTGGATTTGAAATGCGCGCTAATTTGGAGAAAATCTTGATGAGGCGGTGGTGGCAAGTGTAAATGGACTTGTTAATCGACGCAAGCACCACTAAAGCAGCGGCGGAGGCATTCTTTACGGGGGATTTTTTCGGTGTTGGTGGCTGTGGTGATGGTGGCGCGAATTTTTTATGGACTTTGTTGGGGTTTTCTTCACAATCTTGGACACCATTTTTGTTGGATTTCGAGGAGAAGATCGACAAATCAAGACGAAAGGGGAAAGGAAGAGTGGTTAATTGATGCGATTTTTAGTGGGGGAAAGGAGTATGTGGGGAAACCAGGAGAGAATAGAGTGGGCAGTTTTAAAAATTTTGCTTAGAGTCGGACTTAGTTATCCCCAATTTGCAGAAGCTTAAGAACTCTACAAATCTGTGCCTATTTGGTTGGGTTAGGGAAAGGGAAGAAGATGGAGTTGTTCATTTTTGTTTAGAAGATGCGGACAAAAATGCCCTTCTTTCCGGTTGTAAAACCGGATAAACTAGGTAAAAGGGCCACGGGTTTTCAATTTTACAAGTTCAAGGGCTAAAAGTTGACTATAAATAGTTAGAGGGCTTAATTTTACTTAAACTAAAAGTTCAAGAACCAAATGGATAATTTGCCCTTTTGTTTATGGGTATATTATTCCACCTGAATTTCTTATCATCGACTAAGGGTCTTTCTCGACAAAATGATGGAACTTTACAGGTCAAGTTCACATGTTGCCTCACTTACTTTACTAGTCTTTCTCTGCCTGGTTCCGGACTTAAACAAGTCCCATTTCCAATTGGGTTGATCTCTTGGTTAAAAAGAATAATATATATTAGCGGTCAGAAGTTCCACTAAAACTATATATTGAAAAAAGCATATCCATTTGATCCAAATCTTGCAACGGATAGACCCAAAAAAAAAAAAAAAAAGAAGAAGAGAGAGAGAGCAAAAGAAAGCCTATGAAGATGTTGGAAAATTATATTGTGACTTTGACATTTGAAAATAATAAAAAATAAAAAATAAAAAAAACCACACCGGCCACTATACTTTTATTGAGACTAATAATGTGAACATTTTACAAAAGAAAAAAAAATTGTAAGAGATATCAATATTGAAGTTAAATAAGCGGGGGGGGGGGGGGGGAGAGAGAGAGAGAGATGAATGTTGGAGCAGCAAATAATTGTTTTTCTCTTTGAAAATTCCAATGGTTGAAAACAAGGAAAGTTTTTGAATTATGTAGCAACATCTAAAATGGACTAAGGGAAGAACTTAAATGGCACAAAAATAATGCTAAGAACTATACTACAAAAAGCCCTAAATCATTAACCAACGAAAACAGCCAAAACGAATATCTCAACTCTCGAGATACTTATAAAATAATTTAAATATTCATGATTTGTAGAACATGTAAAATAATTTTAAAAAAATATGCATTAATCGATTCCAAACAACCTCTACGCTCTTTTTTAGCAAACGAAGCATGACAAGTAAATGCACTTAATTATTTTACGTGCACATATATGATTTATAAATTACTGATCTCTATACAAAAAAATTGACACCAAAACTCGAATTTGCATCTGGATTCAATAAGATCCGAGGGATTCTGATATAAATCTGCTCGTACAAGCCTATGCCCATTATCCAGATCCAAATCTAGTATGTCAATCGGATCCCAGTCTGGGTCTCCTTGTTTCAGCTAAAACCGACCCACTTAGACCAGAAATGTGAAGGTCAATAATGTCGGCATAATTTTTGTCCCTCGTCAAAAATATTAGCAACGGTTGCAATACAAAAGACGGGCACCAATGCGCAATGGTTCTTAGAATTTTAAACTGCTGGATGCTCAGCTTTGCCTTATTCGTTCTTGTCAACTGCTGGATCCTTCCTCTCCTATCTCCTTTCATCCGTCAAAACCGCTTCTTCTGGTAATAATTTCGAAGCACATAACAAATCAATGGCTTCCGTATTTAATAGCTCAACAAATTAAATAAACCGCAGAATCTATCACTGCTATGGTTCTCATGCATATTTGAGCTCCAAAACAGACAGTAGCTTCAACCAGTTCCGATACTGACTATATAATTAGTTGCAGAAAGCAATGGATCCTGAATTGCGTAAACTTGCACAAAAAGGGATGAATCCTGATTTGTACGCAGCTGCACAGTTAGGTAATTGGGCTGTAATTGGAAGATTTTCGGGCAAGTTCCTGGCTCAGAGGACTCCAAAAAGAAACACTGTCCTTCACGTATTAGCCCAGTCCCGCGACTCTGCAAATGTAGTCCAAAGCATCCTAGCGCGAAATTGCTGTTTGCTAATGGCAAAGAATGCTCGTGGTGAGACTGCACTTCATCTGGCCGCAAGAAAGGGGCATTCTGGCGTTGTTCGAGCACTTATTGATTATAGTAAACAGAACAAAAGATGTTGGTTTTGTGCCTGTTTTGTCGACAGATGCAAGAGGATGCTGAGGATGACTAATGTGGATGGAAACACAGCTTTACACGAGGCAGTTAAGAACAACTTCTATGAGGTTGCTAAGTTGTTGGTTCAACAAGATCCTGAGTTCAGATATCGGCCCAATCATGCTATGGAGACTCCTCTATATCTCGCAGTTGAGAAGGGATATCGGGATTTTGCGGTTCTGATTTTGACGACTTCCAAGTCACCAGCTTATCTTGGCCCCGGTCACAAAACCGCCCTTCATGCAGCAGCAATATGGAATTTGCCAGGTACATTACATTACTAATTTGCATCAAGCAATGAATATAATCACCAAAAGAAAGGAAATTTTTTGAGCTTTTTTTTTTCTTTGATGTTTTTCTTTCTTCACACGTTGGAGAGGTATTATCAGGGTCCTCAAGAATTTTCAAGGACAACAATCGACCAACCAATGACTAGAGGAAACCAAAAAAAAAAAAAAAAAAGGGTTGCTCAAGATGGTGCTTTTAATTTTCAACTCAAATGGGACAGGCTGATACAGCCAGCTCTGAATGAGACGAGTCATAAATGAGAAGTCTCTGTCATAAAAATTAGAGTAAAATACACTTTATCCCACTGTCATTCAATGATTTTTCACATAACTCTCTTTAGTTTCAAAAACAATATACAACCCGATCATAATTTAAATTAAATTATCAAAATGACGAAAATGATGCTTTGCAATTGAACCTACGGATATGTCGAGATTACTCTTATTTAAAAACTAAAATGGTTTAAGTGATCAAAATATATAAACATAATCTGCATGACACTTTAACCTCTTATGGTTCTATATTTTATTATATAACTCTTTTATGATTTATTATTTTACCACGTAACCTCCTTATGGTTTTCAAAATATATACATAATTTCTCCGTTGTTAATAAATAATTTTTAATATTATATAGGGTACTTTTGACATTTTAGTTAACTCTATTATAGAATACAAATTTCATTACTTTAACATTTTAGTTCAACTCATGAAAGAATTATGTATAGCTTTTGAAGTTACAGGGTATTATATGAAAAAGTGCTAAATCACAAGGGATAAAGCATATTATACCTGAAAGATTAACATCCAACTTTAGCTTTTCTTTTTTTAGACCAATTAAAAGAAAGCAACACATTCAACATTAACAAAAGGTACTTTTTCCAAGTCCATTTGAGAATGACTTACAAGGAAAAAATAACAAGGAAAACAACAAGGAAAAAGTGACTTACATGCCTTCGAAGTGCATTTCAAATTGAAAAAAGTTATTCACATCCAAAAACATTAAAAAAGATTGTATTGTAATCAATGAAACCTCCTTGTAATATAGACAACTAGGAAATTTCCCGCCGAGATTTGTAAATGTCTTCAATTTTACATAGGGATGCTATTCTACCACATCCACCATCATGGAACCAGAAATTGAGTATTGAGGAAAGATGTATGCTTGATGGTGTATTTTTTAGATTTCCGTAAAAATCTTGGGATCAGAACTCTGATATTTACGAGGAAAAATGTTAATTTACTAGAGTTTAAGACATGAGCTTTTTTTAAAAGTGAATTTATTGAAAATTGAGATTTAGACTAAAAAGTAATTATGAGTTGCTGAAGTTAAGAGAAGAATAACAGGGACAAATGGATTTTGGAGCAGTTTGTGAGGAAAAAAAAAATAAAAGTTGTAGCCTTGCAGAAAAAAAAATGTGCTCGGTTTTGTAAATTATTGGCACATGCTGTTTTGAATTAAAAATTCCTACTACTTCAATGCAATAGCAAATTTGGTCTTTCGATAATCTCAAACGATCAAATGATGAGTTGACTTAGTGAACATACTAAAATGGCATAATGACTTAGGTGGCATTTGGTTCGTTACTTGGAATCGGATTCGGATTTGGGATCATCCATTTGGGTTTGGAATGGAGTCAGTTATTCCAATACATCTATTTAGTTCAGTAGTAGAAATGCATATCATTACTGTAATTGATATTTTGTTCGTTGACTCTTTCGAAATATGAGAAATTTCCACTAATTAAACGTATTAGTAAATTTAGTATAACTAATTAATAATTTCTATTAGTAAACATATATAATTAATAGTATAATTGATAATATCAATTATATTACATATACAAATATACATTATATAATACATATAACTAATAATATCATTATTATAAGTTTGTCGCTAATTAAATTAAATATTATATATAAAATTAAATATAATTATATAAATATATATAATTATGATTATATAATATATATAAATATTAATTATACTAATATATTATATAATTAAAATGTATATTATATATTAAATATAATTATAATTATAATGTATTATTATATACACATATACTATAATTATAATAATTATTATATATTAATATATTTATAATAATAAATGTAAATATAATTATATTTATTATAAATATATTATATAATTATAATATATAATATATATAATTATATGTATGTATATAATTATCTATTAATTTTTTTAATGGGTGGAGGGTCGGGCCCTATTTATAAACTGGAAAACAAATTGCTCCCCCCCTTCCCCTTGCGGCCTATTAACCCCCCGCGAGGTAGATGCCTTAATTGCCATCCCTGGTTTTCCATAAATTAGATAAGAATCAATCTTGGGTTTTGTCCAAAACCCATCAAGTTGTTAGGTAATTGGGGAACTCCAAATTTTTAAATATGATTACAAAATCCCAATTCCAATAGTAGTAATCCAAACAACATTTATGGAGTTTATTCCAATTCTCCATTCTAAAACCCTCTTGTCAAACGCCACCATAGTATATGATTTATCTATTGGAGGGAATGGTAGCGGATACGATATCCTCTGAAATCTTTTTTACTAAACTCTTACCCATTTAGATAAGTCCGTTACCGAACTATATTAAGTAACTCTACTACCCATTTAGGTAAGTCCCTTACTAAACTATATTAAGTAACTCTACTAGCTTAATTCCTGTTACTAAAAACTGCTTGCTCATGGGATTGGATTAAACCATGGGGTAGCATTTAGCACTCCTTAAACTCGTCAAATCAATCATGAAAATACATGCATCTAAATAGTTGAAAAATCTAGAAACTGATTTTGTTAATTTAAAATTTGAATACATCAAAATCTAAACACCCCATCAGAGTAACAATAGGGGATAAACTCAAAGTTTAACAATCCTATCACATATATTTTTTTTAGCCACTTGAAGTGGCCTGTCAAATTTAGTAGCAAATGGTGGAAGGTAGGGTTTGAACCCCCGATCAAGTCTTAAGACTTTGGTGGTGGCCACTGAGCTTGTGGTTAACAATCCCATCACATATAATATCCCATCACATATAATATAGCAAAAAGAAATATCACTCCAAAGGTCATGCTCAAATGGTCAAAATGAAATAGGAACTAAATGCTACAAGAATCCCTTTTTATAAGATAAATTGGTACATTCTTTCTTCTGACTCCCGGTCATGAAATCGTATATTCTTTCTTATGATTTAATCCGTCATCTTCAATGGAAATAAACTTCAGTCATTTCACTTTTGACTCCTCTTAAGCATTAGACATGAGAATAAGAAATATGAAGTGAAAAGAATAGTTTTCTAATCAAACGCTTGAATAAGTAAAAACAAAAATAAGGAAAGTAGAAGGTATGAATGTACTTTACCTCCAATTGGATTCCACAATTGGTTTGCTGATCACATTAAACCTTTCAATGTGTTTGGTTGAAATCAAATTCCTTATAAGCTGACCACACTTTCCCTGGTACTAAAAGCAGAGTCAGGTGCAACCAAAGAAATAGGAACGGTAATGAAATCTCTAAAAATCAATAGCAAAGTAGGACATTTCATGGAAGGTTATGATTTGTGTTAGTGTTATGTGCTAATGGCTTGTAAGATTGAAACTTGATAGAATATATATGTATACACACATATACACACACTATTTTATAATCTGGTTTTTTCCTATCCGTTGCCATTCCTATCTATTAATCATAAATAACTAATCCTAAAATGACAATTTGAAGTTTCACTTGAGTACATCTCAGTTATTGTAATTGATTCTTATGGTTTAATGAACTACAGTATCTTTAACTAAATATCTGCTGATTGCAGAACTCGTGGAGCTGATTTTGGAAAAGCTGCCTAATCTTATCAAAAAGGTGGATAAATTTGGATGGACTGCACTTCACTATGCTGCTAAACTCAATCATCCGGCTAAACTCAATCATGAAGATGTGGTAAAGCTATTATTATCTGCTAAGAGGTCTACGGCTTATGTTGCTGCCCGCAATGACGACTCCAGGACTGCTCTACATATAGCGGTCATTCATGGACATGTTGCTGTGGTGCAAGAGCTGTTATCCCATTGCCCAGATTGTTGGGAGAAATATACTCACAGACGTCAGAATATCCTTCACCTTGCAGTAAAATATGAACAAAGAGAAATGCTCGAATTCGTCCTGAAAAAATCTTGGGCTTCTGAACTTATCAATCAAAGGGATAATACAGGAAATACTCCTCTCCACCTCTACGTTGCTACCAAAAACTTAGATGGGAGTAGCCTTGTAAAACACCCTTCTGTCGATGTCAATTCTTTTGACAATTCGAACTCCACGCCTTTAGACAGAATATTACGGGCAGATGAACTTTCACAAAGACAGGTATAAGATAAAAAAAATTTTTCCGCTCCTTTGCATGGTCACATTGATTATTAGAAAGTTCTGTCAATTTTTCATATATGATACTTGACTTACAAGATTTTACTTTTAGAAAAATAAGAAACTTGATTTTGTAAGTTATGAATATTCTTAGCCACTAATTCTCTCAAGTCCATCGTTACTATATTTGCTTATACTTAAATTTGAGGTATTTTTACCCCTATTTTTCAGACACTCATTTTTAATATCTTAGGCCGTGCGTCTGCGATGCTACTGGAATTCTTTCAATTTGTGTAGAAAATATTGTGATGTACACTTACATCATATTATTGTTAAGTCTTAAGTTTAGTTTTTTTTAAAAAAAAGGTGTTAATTTCATTCATAAATACACTAGACATTTTTAAAAAATACTACACCAAATCCTATAGAAAATACAACAATTGAACTCAACCTCACCAATGTATAAACGCAGTTGCTGCATGGCTCTTTATAAACCAAGAAGAACATAGTATGTTTTATGAAAAAGCAAAAAGAAGAAGAAGAAGAAAGAAAAGAAGCGCTGTTTTCGCTTTAAATTTCAAAGCTAATTTAAGGAAAAGTAGTGCTGTTTTCGTTTTAAATTTCAAAACTAATTTCTTAAACTCGTGTTTCTCTATTCTCTTCTTAGACTGTCCCCCCCCCCCCCCCCTCTCACATCATGTCTGCTTTGAATGTAAATTTTCTATTTTGATTTCTAATCAATATTATCTAACTTACTTGTTTAACTTTCCTCGTCTAACTTACCTCTCAAAATTCTCCCCACTATTAAGTTTACTGTTTAACATGAACATTTTAGTCCATACAAAATTTGAAAACATGATGCTTTCAACCGGGCAAATCAATGATGGTTTTGCATATTATCTAACATCCTTATCTATCACGTGCAAGTAGTGTTGGAAGAGTCGCTTCATATTTTAGCGGTCCAATGCAATCAGCGACCTCATTGTTACAATTTTGTTTCTCAATTCGTGTTTGACAGATTTTAATCAAGGATGAGTTGGAGCAAGCGGGTGGCACTCGAGGGTATCGAAATGTTGCTACCGTAAAGAAGAACTTACGAGTATCTAATCCTGATGAAGTAAAAAGAGTGGAAAAATTGGCAGCGAATTATTCGATTGTGGCTACACTGATCGCAACTGTCACTTTTGCAGCTGGTTTTACAGTTCCAGGTGGGAACTACAGTGACGGTCCGCACAAAGGCATGGCAGTTCTAAGCAAGAAAGCAGCTTTTATTACATTTGTTATTTCAGATTCCTTGGCAATGTTCGCCTCCATAGGTGCAGTGCTTGGACTTACCGTGCTCTTTCAGACAAAAAATTACCGGCTTAAGTTGGCCATTGTCCGGATAAATCGGAAGCGAATTTTTGGGGCTGTGATGTTAATGATGATAGCATTTCTCGCTGGCTTGTGCGCAGTGCTACCAAATTTGGCTGTCATGATCGTGCCGTATGTCCTCGCTGCTTGGCTTGGCGGTCTCATATGCTTCACCTTTTCCCGAAAATTCGAGGGCAGGGAATGTAACTATACAACTAGATTTAATCATAGCGAAGCTGAGTATGGAATATTTTACCCTCTACGTCTATACACGAGATGGTATCAGGATTTGACCGAAGCCGAGGACTAGTTGTGTTATAATTCAATGGAACTTAATCAAAAAATTTGATTCTTTTTTTGCTATCAGAACTTGCAGCTCCCTCCCACTTTCGTCCAACAACTTGGGTTTTTATTATGCTTTGGATTGGACTTGAAAATGTACAGTGTGATGTTTACTTTTTGTATATATAAATAGACTCCATTTTAAGGGTGAAAAAATAACAGTGTGGTTAGGCTATCCAGCCCAGCAACTGTAGAAAGGAACGGAATCACGGAAGCTTCCTTGACAATTGGTCTTGACAGAGGATTAAGCGGGTAATGCTGTTTGTCCTCCCTCCTCCTCATAATTATTATCCTGATGTTCTTCTTGCAGAGCGCTTGGCGTTCTTTCGTTTTCCGCGCTTAAGACTTGCTGAGTTTTTAGGTTATGCTCTGCAGGAGTGATCTCTTTTTTATTATCCCTGTTGTCATAGTCCAGGACTTTTGTAATAAGGAAGGAAGGGAAGAAAAGGGAGCAATGGCGGTGAAAATAGACCTTGAGAAGACCTATGACAGAATCAGATGGGAGTCTTCTCCCACGGCTAGAATCTCTTCTTCTTAAAAGGACCGGGGATGCGGCTTCGATCTTGCTTTAGTTTGAGTTCGATCGAGCTAGAGTTTTTCTTATTACAGGTGTAACCTAAAAAAGAGCGAAGTTACTGGAGGCGATCAGCTCAAAGGCATAGTTCCCTATTCCCCTTACCCCATCGTTCACTGCGGGATAGGTATAGCTTTTACACGGGAAGAAAAGTACTCATCAAAGCCATGCTCCAATGCATTCCCACCTTCACCATGGCCTGCTTGAAACTACCCAAGTTTGCCAAAGGCCTCCTTCCTTTCCAGAGTGAGTTTTCATCTCTTACTACTCTAAAAAGTATTCAAAACAAGTTCCATTCGCTTCCCCTCGCCCTCTCCAACCAGTCGAGTACTTAGCCCCGATTGAGTGCTCTGCTCTCAATGGCAGGCACTCACTTTCACCCACCTTTATATTGGTGGAGTCGAATGGATAAGGTCTTTGGGTCTAATCCCCAGCTATATGTTTGAAAACTTGAGGAGCTCCTAGTTTCCCCGTTATTCATTGCAGTGTTTTTTATTTGTTTGCAATTTGCATCGGAATGGCAGTTAATTAAATTTAATCCTTTCGATTCGGTATCTGAAAAATTGGCTGGAAGAACTGCTACATAATTTACATTATATCTGTATTGCAAAAAATAATTGCAACGGAAGAAAATAAAAGTGGAGGAACTTTTGTATTTTTGCAACGGAACCTTAAAAAAATAATTGTGTTTGCAGGGGGTTTTATCTGTATTGCAAGGAACCAAAAAAAAAAAAAAGCATAAAGGTATTGGAGCAGTTGGTTTTTCAAAAAATCAATAAATTAGTTGATAAGCACTGCAAAAGGGAAGTATATTTCAAGGATTCAAAACCTCACGAGTTGAGTTATCATTCAATTCAAACTGATTATGAAATTCTCACATCTGGTGTAAATTAGCATGAATTTGATGTAAACAAACCCAAAATTTGTACAAAAATCTTGATGTGGTTCGATTAATTTACACCCAAATTATATTAATTTACACTCGATGTGGTTCGATTCACACAATTAATTTGAATCAGAACTTATAAGGCCCCAAATCCGGTGTCCAGGAACCGCGACAATCACGGTAGATTTAGATGAGGATGTCGTCGGATTTCTCAACTCACAAATTGGGTAACAGGAAACGTTGATGCAGCTGCAAGAGATGAGGCATTTCGTACCAATGAAAAATAAAAAATAAAAGACGGGGCATTCATATCAGGGAGGACAATGGGGCCATTGTCGGGCGGACGCAATTAGGACGAAGACCCAATTCAAATTTTAAGTCCATAAAAAGTCTGAACGGAAATTTTATAGGAGTGAGGCCTCATGGGGGCTGCAAAAGTGAGTGGATCTAATGCTTAAAAAAAAAAAAAAAAAAATAGTGGCTGGATCTAAAACAGCATCTGGACCTCTCAATATCGCTTCATCAGCAGCCTTCGACCACAACTTCAAATTCGTCTTTGTTCCAAAGGCCATGAAGTATCAATAATTGGGGGAACAAGGAAGAATCATGTAAAATTTAAAAACGGAGAGGAGACGAGGGAATTTATTAGTTAAATTATATACCATCATAAACACCGAAGGCCATGAAATTGTCGAATGATTGAAGTCAGTACCTAGATTTAGAAGTCAAATCTTCCTTATGACTCCTTAAATCCCATCCATTCTCTATTAAATAGAAAAAAAAAAAAAAGAAACCTTGAACAAAAAATGGTAACTGAAGTTTGACTAAAGAAATATAAGATGTAAATACATGGGGATGGAGCTATAAATTTTTTGACAGTAAACAAAAGATCTATAGATAGAAATAGTGCATGTACTTTATTAACAAAGATCAAGAAAACTAATAAGAGAAAAAGAAATATATTTTACTTGATCAAGAAATGAGATGTAGGATTAAATTGCTGCATGTTAAATTTTGTTGAGGACTAAATGCATCATTTTATGATTGAAACAATAAAATAACAATAACAGGGGAAGGGTTGGATTGGATGGTAAGGTAGGAAAGATTGTAAGTAGGACGTTTTAACTTCAAAACCTATCACTTACACACAAAAAAAAACTAAAAGGAACAATAATATCCAATTGAAAATTTTCCTTTCCATTAATTGGTAGTAGTATTAGTAGGTAGTGAGAGGAAGAAACTACTAATCGTCAATGGGCTAGCTTCTAGGCTTAGAGGTGCATAGACAATGCCAACCTTATGGGCCAAAACAGCTGAGCCGAGCAAATACACTAACAATGCCCACAAAAGGACCTCTTTTGGATCTTCAAATAATCCTGATGAAGGTGATAGTGAGCAAGAGTTTGTGTAACACTTGCCACAGAGTTGGTTTTCTGATAAGATTTGTACTTCTTGTGGTAGGCTTCAAAGGCACTCTCCTGCAGTCTTGCCAATTCAAATGCTTTGGACAACGTCTCAGAATTGTGAGTCTTCACCATTGATCTTAACTCTTCTGGCAAGCCACTCAAAAAACCGAAAATGTAATAAGTTTTAGATAGGTGTGGGGCTCTAATCATTACCTCTTGTAGTAGTTCTTCAAATTTCTCTTGATAGGCTAACACTGTGGAGAAGAGCTGTAACTTGTTAAACTCCTCCATTGGATCTATTTGCCCTAAGGCACCAAATCTCTTGCACAATTCCCCAGAGTACTCCACCCAATCTACCTTATTACCCCTAGTCGATCTAAAACCTTGATGCCACACATCTGCTTTGTCTTCCATGTAAAATTCTGCTATCTCCATCCACTGATCCATGGAAATCTGTAAAAGCTGGAAATACTTCTGAATTTTCTTGATCTATTCTCTAGGGTTTTCTCCCCTAAATGCTGGAATTTCCAGTTTGGGCACACTAGTATAGAAGGCGCTCCTGCCATTCCTTTCACCCTGCTTTCGATTTGCCATATCTAAGTTCCTTGAGTTACTCACCACTAGGGATCCCAATATTCCTTTTTTATTGTTACCAGGGCTCAAATTGGCAAATTGCTGAGAGATGGCCGCCATGAATGCGTCCAGCTTATTACTCAGCTCAACATTCACTGCATCAATCCTTTCTTCCAAGCTTTTCTTGTCGATCGCCATGGAATCCACGATTCCTTGAATTCTGGTTTCTTGTCTGCGAAGTTATTCCTCCATTGTTTTCATCCGTGTTCCTTTTGCCATTATGATATGTTGGTTCCAGCTTCCTAGTCCAAGGACCGGAAGCTCTGATACCACATATAGTGACCTGATCAGTAGGAGAATTGAAGAGGGAGGATAACATCAGAAGAAGAAGAATAGAGAAAAGGAAACGTGGGAAGGAAGAAAGAGCAAGAGAATGAAGGAGAAGAAGGAATCTGTAATTTGTTATATCTGTTATGCCTTCATCACGCCATTTGCAGGCTCTTTATACAAATTTCTTTCTGGATCCTTCTATGCTCAACTAACTACACAACAGAATAGACATATATGACAAGCTAGTAACTAACTTGCTAACTAACTATATGAAAAGAAAGCCACGTCAACAACAATAATCTTCATGCTTCTGATGAGCAATATCTAGGGTCATAACATTTGTATTCGAGCAAAGCTCCATTTTTTTCTTTTTTTTTTCCTCACCAGAGATCTAAGGAATAGCACGACATATATAGTGCATAACTTGTTTAGTATGACATTAGGCCTGTTATCGAGTTGGGTCGGATCGAAATTGAAAATTTTGGACTTGGACCCATTTCAATGTATTAGACTCGGATCCGACCAGTATACTCGATAGGTCTTGTACTTAAGATTCCGAAATCAAGTTCGACGGGTCCGAGTCAAGTCTGAGTCTACCCGAAAACAAAAGATCTAACATGCATCATTCATTTTCTTTTATCCATACTAGCAAAAAGGTTCAACATGATCCCAAAATATTTAGCAAAAAACACTTATATGCAACTTGTGATGAATACATTTTGGGTCAAACAAGCTTGTCTCTTCCAAATCCTAATTTCTTAGATACTTCATCTGGAATACGGGTAATTTGGTTAATTTGGTAAAAGAATACTTTGTTAATATAGTAAGAGAATGTATTTAGAAATATTTATATTTTATAATTATTAATATATTGTTCGAGTTCGAGTCGGAATCCTATATTCCACATCCAATCCATTTTTTTGTTAAAGTAAACGGGTACGAGTTTGAGTCCGGTACCGGGTACCGGAATTATTTCTCAACCCATACCTAAAAAAAATTACCGAACTTGGGCCGGGTCCGGGTTCAAACCCGACCCATTGATAGCCCTATATGACATCAATGGGTGACCGAAAAAGTTGACTTTCATCAAATACGACTTAGAGTGCCGCTTAATATTGACGCTAAATGGACTGATCAATTGGCATTCAATCTTAAGACTGCAACAGAAATACCGGTTCTTGGATCCCATTTAAATAGGT